CTGAGCCATCTCTCCAGCCCTCATGTATCATTTTTAAATACTACTATTTGCTCAGCAAGTGAGGGATTAATACAACTGCCCTGGCTCCTGCCTGGCAGAGGAGAGTTGTTACAGAACAGTTTAGGCCCTGCAGGGTGTAGGCTGCGCCAAAGTCAAGGGTAGTGGACCCAGAGGAGAAAGCGCCCTGGACACTGGCTGTGCACTTGACCTGGCTGCTGCTGGGTAAGTAGGATGCTGTCGGGCAGAGATGATGAGCAGCCTCTCAGCAGGTGGCACTGCCTGAGGAGAGGCACTGAGCAGCCAGGCACTGGGCAGTTAGGTCCAGTGCAGTAGCAGATGAGGCCGTCATCTTCTTAGAGTAGACTCAGAGCTGAGGTGCAGTTCATTGGTACAGAATGCTCTTAGCAGGCAGAAGACCCTGGGTTTGATCCCCAGCACCAAAGAGAAAAAAGTATCAAGAGGGACTGTGAGAGTCTCCTGCTTAGTATTATCCTGGGCACCCTACATTCTCAAAGAAGGAATTAATGTGACTTGTCTGTCTCTGCCTCAGCCCGCTCTCAGAAGACTTCAGGCATTGGACGTCTGATGGTGCATGTCATTGAAGCGACAGAGTTAAAAGCCTGCAAACCCAATGGTGAGTGCCTACATCAGCACAGGGGGTAATGCCCCACACTTGGCTAGTGACCCTTCTGAATGCTGGATGCTGGGATACTTTCTAAAACTCTGGTGCCACTAAAATTGTGGCAAGCTATATTTTATTAGATCAGTGTCATCTCCAGTTCCCCAGGGAGTACTGGTCCCTGCCTTCTCAAGTGTTTCTTCGTAGCAAAGCACTCAGCAGTTTGCACTGGCACTCACCTGGCTCGTGGGGTGGGGGAAGTGCCGGAGCTGGAGCTCACAATTGCCCCAGGAGTCACACTGGGAACGCAGATGGCATTGCCCCACCACATGTGGATGTGGCTCCTGCTGCAGTGGCCCATTGTAAAGCAACATGGTAGGTCCTGCTTCTGCTCAAGGATGGCCCTTTTAGTCATTCATTTGACCTACCATGCTATGTGTCTGTGGTTTGTTACTGTTCAGGAAAGAGCAATCCGTACTGTGAAGTCAGCATGGGCTCCCAGAGCTATACCACCAGAACCCTCCAGGACACTCTAAACCCCAAGTGGAATTTCAACTGCCAGTTCTTTATCAAGGATCTGTACCAAGATGTGCTATGTCTCACCATGTTTGACAGAGACCAGTTTTCTCCAGATGGTAAGTGTAGCTTGGGTGGGAGCCTTAAAGGTGTCCCCTGTTGTCTAGACTTCATCTGGATCCAAGGTGCTTGGCTACAGGTAGTGGAACAGAGCCATACTGGCAGCATGTTGGATGCCATTCCCTAGGGAGGGAACAGCTTTAGATGTATTTCAGATCTCTGACCCCAGTCACTCCACACACTGTGCTAAAAGAATAGAACACTGATCTCAGAAAAGACCGGAAGTCCATGTAGGCAGCTGCTCTGAAGCAAATATGTTGTCGTTGTGCACACATCTACTCACAGTCCAGCCACCCCTAAGGCAGAAGTTACTTGCTTTATATTTGGATGTTGTCTTAGTTACTTTTCCTATCGCTGAAACAAAATACCCAACACCCAAATTTAAAGGAGGAAAGGTTTACTGTAGCTCATAGTAGACATTTCAGTCCATAATTGGCTTGCTCCAAGGCAGAGTGACATGGCAGAGGGGCATTGCAGAGGAGAAACAGCTCATGGTGTAGCAGGGCAGGCAGAAGGCAGCAAGCAGTGAAGTAGCAAGTGCCAACAGCAGCCCTCTTTCTGTTCCTTATGGTCTCACAGGCTACCCACCCTTAGGACGAGTAGCACTCACATGAAGGTGGGATCTCCCTTAATCCTAGCATTGCACCATGAATCCCAGCATCACACACCCTAGATCCAGCGTCTTCTATAAAGCCTCACCTGTGACCACATAGGACTTTGGGGGGGCATCTAGATACAAGTCATAATGTTTTATGAATGTTTCACACCTTTCTCCTGACTTTATAAAACAACTTTATAAAAAACAAAAATTTGACTCTCATCTGATGTTTATTTGCCAGATTTCCTGGGCCGTACTGAAATTCCACTGGCAAAAATTCGAACAGAACAAGAAAGCAAAGGCCCTACCACCCGCCGACTCCTGCTGCATGAGGTTGCCACAGGGGAGGTCTGGGTCCGATTTGACCTGCAGCTTTTTGAACAAAAAACTCTCCCATAGGGGACCTGAGGGCAGCGCCAGAGGATCCGCACCAGGGCTGGGGCTGCGAGCATCACGGCTTCATCCATCACAAAGCCACACACGCCGGGCGTATATCTTATTGCACACTAAAGCACTAGCAATCTATGCAAACATGACCTTTCCTATAAAACCCCACAGCGCAGTGCCTTGTACTAGTGTTAACAGTTCCACTGGGTTTCGATGCATGGTTTCCATTTTCAGGGCTATAAAAGTATTATGTGGAAATAAGGCATCGGACCACCAGATGTTACCGCTTGGCAAATGTGTCCACCGTGGAGTGGCTTGGTGACGCTGGGACCATCCCACACCATGTGACCTCCGCCAGTCCCAGCACTCAGGAGGCAAGGGGCCGGGATGACATGCTGCGGTGCGGTGCTCACACAGCCTGATGATGAATAGCGTCTACTTGTGCACTGAAAACCACCAGAAACTTGATCACTTTATTCCTGACTAGGTTTATCATTCTCTGCTAAGACAATATAGTTTTAAATATAAGAGGGAAAGCTTGATATACCTTAAATACTGTGAACTCTAATAATGTGGGAAATATTTTTCAACTTTAATTTTCTGAACTATAAATTATTTATGTAAATTCCTTGTTTTGCATACTTCATAGGACATGCATCTGGAAGCTTTGTCATTGCCAATATGTACAGAAAGAGAATAAAAATGTAAGTTTATGAATGTAACTTCTTTCAAATCTTGACTTTGTGAAATGTTCTGAAAAGCTCATATGATCTTTCTGATAGAGTGGGAAGGACCCGAGAGAGGGCAGGAGCCAGAAACCCAAGGCCACAGCCCAGCTCTGCCATTACTTGTGTGGCGGCTTTATTGACTCCATTGTGTTCCTGGAGCTCTGTTTCTCCATTGGCTGGAATGGGTGACTGCCATGGGAGCCACACCTGGTGCTCTTGAGTCCCTGTTGGCTGAGTGGAGGTGAAACCTCAGTGGTCACTCAGGAGAAAGGGAGACGTTCAGGATCGGGGCTGCTAAGCAGGTCCTTCACCCTCCAGCTATAGAATTCCTGACTTTCCTGCTGTCCCTGGACCCCTCAGCCACACCCACACCTTACTCAGCTGTTTGACTCCTGAGTTTTAGAACATGAAGTTGTTTTGTTTTGTTTTTATTTGTTTTGTTTTGTGAGACAGGATCTGATTGTATAGCTCAGGCTGATCTTCAACTCGTTATGTACCCATCTGACACCCTTAGCAGGTGTCCATGAAGGTGCACCCTGGGACACGACCTTGAGCTCCTCTCAGCAGCAGCCACTGGAGGATAACAGTGCCTTCTGGTTTGGCTCTTCAATGAATACAAAACACCTCACACAGCTCTTGCTTCACAATGAAGCTCACTAGACAATAAATGGTATTATTGGGATATTTCTTGCAATAGCTCTCCATTTCTGGAGAGGGAAAACACACCGGCAGTGTTTAAATTGCTATAAGACGGCAGACTGAAGCTAACTACAGTAAAAAACTGATGGTGGCCTGGCCGCCTCCCGCAGGGATGCCAGGTGCTTCCCCAGGACCTCTGCTGTCATCGCTCTTCTTTCCACAGGTGGCAGTCCCCGTCTGTGTCGGTGATCCCCAGGTGCCCATGATTGGGGTCTCTGCTGTTGGGCCCCTAAAACCTATGGACAGGAGAGAGGGCTGAGGGAGGTGTAGGGTGAGAAGGCTCACAGGAACAGGGGACCCTACAGACCCTCCCCAGGCAGGTGGCCTCATGAGCTGGGACCCCTGTCAGCAGGTTCCCAGCCAGCTCTGTTGCCCCACTTTTTCACTGTTTCTACAATACTCACCTGAGGCTTTCTGGTCTTCAACTCCATATACCTTTTCATGCCTCATGAGCTGGGACCCCTGTCAGCAGGTTCCCAGCCAGCTCTGTTGCCCCACTTTTTCACTGTTTCTACAATACTCACCTGAGGCTTTCCGGTCTTCAACTCCATATACCTTTTCATGGGATGGCAGAGACAACTAGTTATCCCCAGAGGGTTCCCCTGCAGTGTGTTCAGGCAGCCAGGAACTACTTTTCCCTGGCATCCTACAGTCAGGGATACTCAGTGATTGTGTCCCAGCCCACAGGACACCAGAGGTAACACACACTACCTCCGGGATGGGCCCACACACAGGAGAGGACTCATCTGGGCCACTTTCCTTCCCCATCATGAGGAATGAGTTCTTAGGAAGCCAATGTTGAAGGTGGCAAAGGCCAGCAGAGAGGCTTAGAAGAGGGACTTCCTGCTGACCTGCCCAATACTGGCCCATGGGCAAAAAATAAATCTCGGTTTAAGCCATTATCTACTTTGTGGTGACAGGAAGGAGCTTTCCTACCACAGCAGCAGTAACCCACAGTCACACTGAGATCAGAAATAAACAAGAGGGGCTGCATCAAATGAGAAACATTTTGCACGGCAAAGGCAACAAAAAACTGAAAAGATAGCCTACATTTATTATACATGTAAAACATGCACTAATAAAAAATTTAAAAGCCTAGACACTGGGAGAAAATATTTGCAAACTTAATTCAATAAAGGGTTAATAAATACATAACTCCTAGCAAGAAAACTAACCCAATTCAAAACTGGGGAAAAGTCTGAATAGTTACCTTTTCAAAGACACACAAATGGTCAGCAGGTATATGAAAAGATGCTCAGCATCACTAATTACCAGAGAAATGCAAATCAAGACCACAGTAAGCCACCAAGCTGCATGCTAGGGCACATGTCACACAGCCAACCCGGGAGAAAGCCCATGACCTGGAGGAAGACTTCCCCACCACACCCCAGAGCTACCACTGCATGCCCAGGGAGGACCCCTGGACTGACAGGACAACGCATACCAGGGTCTCCTGCTGAGGTCTCCTCAGCACAAGACAATAGAGGTGACAACCCACTCAGCCACCTGACGAATGGAGAGACCAATCCCTAGGCAGAGTTTCGCTTCAGGACTGCAGTGTTTCACTTCAGGACTCACCCTATCGGAGACTGAGTGAGTGAGTCCTTGGGTCATATGCTTGGAGAGGAGAGAGCTAAGTAGGAATCTCCTGGAATCCCTTGGGAGACTCAGGCTCAGACGGAGGAGTTCACAGAGCTATATTCTGTTGAGGGAGGCCAGGCTCAGAGGGGAAAGGCCAGAGGAAGTGGCCCTGAGAGAGAGGGTAGTCAGGTGGGATCTTCGCCCTCTGGCACAGTCACCTACACTCAACACAACCTAGTGGGCTGAAGCATTACCTGCTAATACACAGGTGGTCTGTCTGCACTAAAAATCAGTCTTCCTAGTTCTGGACAAAGAACTCCAGGGGTGGTTCTTAGGGTTTGGCAATGCTTACTTGTCACATGATGCCAGTGATGCCACTGAATTTACTACTATAGTCAAGGTAACATGGTAGTATAACAACTGGCTTTCTCTTAGTGGCAATATCTGGAGTTCCAGGGGATCAAAATCAATAAAAAAGGGATTTACATTCACACAGGTCATGAGATAGCAAGACAAGAGAAGGCTCCCACAGTCTCCCAACTCTCCCAAGATACAGCATGGGGGCATAAACAGAGGAAAGCAAATACTACATAGAAGAACTCTACAAAGAAGGCATCAGCCTGTCTGGCAAGCACAAGGTCCTGAGTTCAATTCCCAGTACCAAAAAAAAGAGTTTATGGAAGGGATGAATAAAGTAGCACAAGCTCAAAGAGGAAACAAAAAATTTACAGGATTATCACTCAATATACCCCAGATGAATTCAAGGAAAATTAGTAAAAATTAGATAACCTGACCAAAATGGCTCATATTATGGATGACAGATTCAACAAGGATATAGAATGCTCAAAAATGGGCCGGCGAGATAGCTGAGCAGACTAAGCACCTGCTTAGGCAAGCACAGGGACTGGGGTTTGATCTCCCACCATCCGGCACACTAAGCCAGACACAGAGTCCAGGCATGGTGGTGCACACCTGTAATCCCAGTACTCCAGGGTTAGCTGTGTGGCACTACTAGTCCAAGCTGTGCAGTGAGACCCTGTACCAAATACATTAAAAATAAAATGCTTAAAAAGATACCAGGCAGAAATAAAAATTAAAAATACATAGAATTCATAAATTGCTGAAATGACAAATGCAAATAGTGTCTATAATTGAGGACAAAATGGTAAATTGTCAAGTTTGGGGAGATAGCTCGGTGGTCTAAGTGCCTGCCTGGCAAACTCAAGGACCTGGGTTTGATCCCCAGTACTGAATGCTCTGCCAGCCCCAGATCCCTGGGCATACCAGGCTGGCCACTGAAACTGGGTGTGGTGCTGCATCCCTGTATTCAACAATCTGGCTTTGAATCTATAATCCTTATTTTTTTTTATTATTATTATTATTATTTTTTGGTGGAACTGGGGATCGAACTCAGGCCCTTGCGCTTGCCAGGCAAGCACTCATCCCACTGAGCCATCTCCCCATCTCTTGCATCCCTGTATTTGCAGTGATGGGGAGACTGAGACAGGAGGATCACTATGACTCCAAACTGCATAGCAAGACTTTACCAAAATAAATAAATAAAGATTTTTTTAAAAAAATAAAATTTAGGGCCAGGGAGATGGCTTAGTGGAGTAAGCGCTTCCCTGGCAAGCGCAAGCACCTGAGTTCAATCCCTGGTTCTGCAAAAAATAAATAAAATAAATAAATAAATAAAATTTAAAAAATGGTAAATTATACAGAAGTACTCAAGCTATAAAAGAAAAAATAAGAGAACAAGAAAAGACCACCCAGCAACTACCAGATGACACTAAGACCCACCTAAGGCTAATTGGAATTCAAGAAAACCTAGAAGACAGCACAGATAGTTATTAATAAGTTTACATAAATCATAACAGAAAACTTCCCAAATATGAGGAAAGAGTTCAACATGCAGGGAAGTGAGATTTATAGGATACCAAACAATTATGACAAAAAAAGAGGCTCACCAATTGATATCCTTTTTAAATTGCCAGATATCTAACAGGAAAAAAATTTTCTAAGCAGAGAAAAACAAAAAATCACATGTAAAGGTAAACCCATTAGAATTACAGTAGACTTCTCAACACAAGCCTTAAAGAGCAAAAGAGCATAGAGTGAAGTATTTCAAGTCCTAAGAGCAAATAACGTCCAACCTAGACTCATCTACCCACAAAGCTTGCTTCAAAATACGTGAAGAAATAAGGATATTTCATGAAAAAGACCAGCTCAAGAGATTTATGACTGCTCAACTCTGGAGCTTGTAGTCATTGCCTGTCCTGCTTGGATTCCTGGAGCCCTGTCCTTGTCACCTGAGTCTGCACGTGGCCTGACATGTGAGTGAGACGACCCAGGGCCCGCCAGATCCTGAAGAGACCCAGAGCACAAGCGCAGCGTTGTGAGTGAGAGGACCCAGGCCTCTGGATTCTGAATTGACCCAGAGCACAGGACCAGTGTGTGAATGAGACCGCCTGGGGCCCACTGTATCCTCATTTGACCCAGAGTGCAGGCCCAGCGCAGAAACCTTCAGCAGAACTCCCTGCAAAGAGGCTAGAGGAAAGACCCACCCAGCAGATTCAGGAGCAGAACATCTTGCCAGAGTGACACAAAGGGTTCAACTCTAACCACTGCAGCAGAAAGAAGTGAAACACAGCAGCCAGATCCAAACAACACCCACCTGGAGGAATCAGAACTTCATAGATCCGGACTGGTGCTAAGGTAATAACTCTATTTAAGCTCTACACCAAAGGTCAGAAGACAGGTATACAAAATGACAAAGAGAAGGAACAAAATGCAGTCTCAGGCCCCGAGTCCACCCAGTACAAATGCAGAAGACACTAGCATTGA